TCTACACTTATTAAAATATACAGGAAAAGTGAAAGTGAGCCTGGTAACTTTGAATGGATTTCTGAATTTATAGATTTCTAAACTAAAAGAGGGAAACTCCATATTGATCCAGTGGCCAAATTTATCCTCAAGGAAAACCATAATGCAAAAAAAAACCCCACAAAAAACCCAACAACAATTATAGTCGGCCTATACTTTTCACTTAAGAAAGAACTGTGCTCAAATGCAGGGAATAAGAGAGAAGGATGGAATCCCTGTTGGAGTAAGTAGAGTAAGAAAGAAAAACAAAGCTCTCTGTTATAAAGCTCTTTGCAGATAAGAATTCTTTCCCCCTGTCTGTGTTGAGAATCCCTCAAATTTTGAGAAATCTAACAGTGGTACCAGCCAAGCCTAATTAACAAAGATCCCCTGAGGATAACTTTAAAAATCCACAAGTAGCTTTCCTTAGTAGGCACAGGGAATAGAGAATCCAAGCCCAGATGCAGGCCTAAATCTTTTAGTGAGGGTTGAGATGCACTTATAGTGAAATCATGATCTGAAACTCAGGTCCAGGCAGAAACAGCCACAAACCACCATATGTCACACTTGAGTAACAAAGACATTTCTCTCCTCAGAATCTAACCAACACTACTTGGTCCACCTCTTAAATTAAACTTCACTGCTAGTCTCCTTCTCACCTTTCCCACAGACACAAAGAAGCTAAGAGGAGTGAAAGCACATGCAGTGTTCAGGCAGCAGTGAGTTTTCTCACGTGGCTACAGCATAGGAGAGAGTGCCTGGAATCCTAGAGCTGTCTACTGTCCTGTGTTCACTTAGCCTCAAACAGAGACAAATTGAGAACAGTAAAAATCTGGAGTTCAAAATTTTTTCTGGCTTATCTGGAATTCTTGACTAAAACTCCAGGAAGGCCAGTGGCTTCCAGATTGCATACATGAATAAAAATGAACAAACTATTCCATCTGCTAGATTAAATACTGGCCTTTCTCTGAAGTCAATAGGAACCGACCACAGAAAGCATTTTTCCTCCTCCTTAGGAACTCATGCTCATTTCTTTCTCATCCTCTCATCCTTTGCTGAAGTTCTCTTTGAGTGGGTATACTTTATCAGCTACCAGGACCTAGATTAGATATATGGCAAGGATAATTTAAATAAAACCTAATTTAAAACTCTAGATTTTTCTTTTTGATGGCATATGAGCAGAACACTTAGGTTTATAGGCTTGTATTCTAAGATAGGTTATTTCCATATTTCAGATACTTACATCCTTAACAAATCTCTTTTAAGACTGAACCGACAGTGTTCTCAAATATAAAGAGGAAATTAATGTGCTTACTCTAGAACAAAAAGATATTTGGGAATTCAAAAGATCTTAGGGCAACTAAATCTAGAACTTGAGAGACTTGGTTATTTTGATCTTAGAGCAGTCTACTTGCCAATGGCAACATTAACCTGGGTGTACTTGGGGAGCAAAGCAAAGAAGGCTTGAGTTATAAAAATCAAATCTCAATCCCAGTACTCAGTCCAAAGTTCAAGGAATTCCAGCATGAAAGCAATGATTCTGATTAGCAGTGAATTGCTCTCTGAAATATCCTAACATGAGAAAATACCACTGGAACTGTAAGAGTGGAAGTCTGAGAAGAGATGACAGATAGCCAAGGATTTAAGTAAAGCTCTGGCTGGTCTCCAATTTCTAACAATGCTATGATGTGTTCGTCTAGTTTCTCTCCCCGGGCCTCCTGTCATCACACAGCACTGAGCTAGAGGAACGTTCCAACAGGCAATATCAGCTACAAATGAATGGCAGGCAACCAGGGCATTTGTATTCAACTACAAAGTTTAGGAGGACAAGCTTGAGGCAGGATAAATGCAGTTCTTACAGTTGTTAAAAATGAGGAATAAATGCAGGGCAAAATGAGAGCATATTCAGTAGAGAGAGTAAGTAATTGTGATCAGGAGACTCATGATTGATCTTTAGCTCCATTGTCACTAGCTGTTTGATTTTGGGAGGTAACTCATTCTTCTATTTAATAATTCTCTCTTTCCTTAGTTGTGAAAATTAAAAGAAGAAAATGCTTTTACTTCCTTCAAGGTTATTATAAGGATCTAGATCTAGTAAGATAAGAACGTGCTTTGTAAGCTACAAAGCATTATCAAAGTACTATTTACTCAAGGCAACAAATACTTATTGGATGCTTCTTGTGTCCCTGCTGCAGTGCTTGGTAGAGAAAGTAGCACAATAGAGTCTAGCATTCAATGAGGAGACCAGTGTTTGAACATACAAGACATCTCTTCAAAGTGGTATGGAATAGAGATGAAGTTGCAATTAATTTAGTCCAAGGGATAGAGGTCAGAGTCTCAGGTAAGTAATAATGAACCTGAGCTTTAAAGGGTAAGTGGGTGAAGGCCAGGCAGAGGCTGGGAAGTGCATTTTAGGGGAAATTAATGAATAAGCAAAGAGATGTGAATGTACAGTGGTTAGGGGCCAGTGGGTGGGTTGTCTTGTGTGGCTACAGCACAGCCTACTCAAGGGAGAGTACCTAGAAATGACGCAGGACAGACTGGAACCAGGTTGTGATGGGATCTGCATCATGACAGAGTTACATATTATCAAACAAGAGGCAACTGGTACACACACTGAAAAAATTAGAGAACACTGGGTTTTTTCCCCTCCTCTTCCTTCTTTGTCCTCACACTGAAAAAATAAGATACAGTACCTTCAAGTTATAATCTAGCAGAAAAATTAATGCTGCAGGTGTATAAGAAGTATATAAGGGAAGGGCACAAAGGGTAGTCAATTTCACATGGTAGAATCAAGAAAATATTTATTATGGAGTTGTCAAGTTGGTTTTATCCAGACAGAACAGAGCTGGGGAAGGTATTCCACACAGAGGGAGCAGCATTAAAAAGATATAGAGTCATAAAACAGCATGGCATGTAGTTTGGCAAGACCTTAAGGTGTGAGAGATATATGATGCTATGAACCTGGAAAGGTAGGCAGAAGCCACTGCCAGTACTGCTAAGGCCAAGTTCTAAAATTTCAGTTCTGTCTCTTTCTAATGGTGTGACCTTAAGCAGGTTACTTAACCTCTCTAAACCTCACTGGCTTCACTGATAAAAGGGGAATATTAAAAGAATCTACAACACAGGGTCACTAAAGGATTGAAACTAATCTAAAATAATATTGAATGTCAACTGCAAGTGAAAAAAAATTTTTAAAGGTCACTGAAGGATTACTGTGAAGGACTTAGTACGGAATGTCTGATTTACAGTAAACACTCGATAAACCACTACTACTATTACCATCAGCATTACTTATTATAGGAAACTACTACAGTGATCAGGGCAAGTGATAAAGAGGCCCTGGACTAGAGCAGAGGTTAAGAGGGATGAAGGAGAGAAGTCAGATGCAAGGTTTTCTGAGTTGAAAGTGATGGACTGGAGTTGGTGACAAGGGAGAGATGAGGGGCAAAACTGAATACAGTATGATTCTAGCTTCCAAACTTGGTCAGCTAGATACATGAGTAAAAATATTTAGCAATCTGAAATATGTTGATTATAGGGTATGTCTGGGTAACAGCCAGGTGAATGTGTCAAGTACACCATGAGATACACAGTTCCTTGGCTTAGGAAAGAATGCAAGGAAAGGCTCTATCATACCTCCTTATCCACATCTTGTAGTTTCAAAATCACTCTCACCTGCAGTGTCCATTAAACAAGTGGACCTAAGGAGCCATGTCCAATTTATGAAACCATCTCCCATAGTTTACTGAACTACAGATAGACACCTGACCCATGGAATAACGGAAAACCCCAGCCAATCAGCATGTTTCTGCATGTGTCTTTAAAATCATGTAGTTGCAGGGGTTTGCATCACCATTTGAGGGACAGCTCACACACAAGTAATGGGAGAACTGCAAAGAAATGAATGTAGGAGACATATAGAAACAAAAAATTTAAATGAGGGATTACAAGGTCTCATGGAAAGAGAAAGAGTAGCTGCCCAAAAAATGTTCATAAAGCCCAGATGCATCTAGACATCAGATGCTGTAAGATTGCCCTGTGTCCTTTTCTACTTGTACTTCCTTGCATTCCACGCAACCAGACGAAAGCAGAATACAGAGGACAAAATAAGGAAATGGCCAAGGTTAGGACCCTGGGGGACGTAGACATGGAGGAGTCAGGAAGAAAAGCCAGTGAAAGAGGGAGGAAGGGGGCATTCATAAAGGGAAGAGGAAATTCAGGGAAGGGCCGTGTCCTAAAAGCCAATGTAAGAGAAGGGTTGAAGGAGTAGCAAGTTAGTCAACAGTATCAAATGCTACAGAGAAATCAAATAAGAGAAAGATAAAACAAAGCTACTTGATATAGCAATTAAGAAGTCACTGGTGACCTTTCTCAGAGCAGTAATGATAACTCAAAAACTTATTTTTCAAATCTTGATTACCACATTAGTCATACTGTTTAACCTTAGGTGGGTTCTTAACATGTCCCTGCCTTGGTTTCTCATCTGCTTAAAAATAATTAATAAACTCTACCCCCCAACCCTAGACACTCTAGAAGTGTCTGTATTTTAAACTGCATAGCATTCCACATATATATGAAAAATTCTTAAACTGAACATTTAAGATTTGTGCAGAAAGAGAGAGAGAACAAAATATCCCCTCTGCCCCATTCATAGTAATCAGACTTAAAAATAAAAATTTTAAAAGGGGCTTATAAAATAATTTGAAAAGTGTTCTTTGAATCCCAGGAACCACCCCACAGCCTCAACCTCAGCCTTCTGAGGTAATGGCAAGTATTACTGTCCTCAACAAAAAAAAGCTGATCAGTAAAAGTTTTCATACTGCTATGACTATGTTCATTATTTAAAAAAATAAAGGTCACGTGTATCTCCAACACTTGAGCACAGGGCAAGCAATCTGAATTATTTGAGAGAAGGGGCTGACAGATCCAGATGAAAAGCAGCCAGTGGTGCTAGGGCAGCATCTGTGAAGGAGCCCTACCTTCATCAGGTGCTTGTTGACCCACTTGGTGAATGTTTTCTTCTGAACGCGGTCCCGTTCATCTGTAAAACAAAGAAGGCACTGATTTAGCACTATATAGGCAACAAATTCCCGCACCCCAGTCTCTCCAGGACACTTCCAGAGAATTACAAGATGGTGTCCTGTTGTTGGGAGAGTTGGCCTGTCTGAACTTTACCTTCTGTCCTGGCCATGTTACTTTATATGAGGGGGGCACCCAAAAAACCCAGGATTATCTTCTGGAGGGTGAATCCCTTGTAGTACAGGCTTCCCCTCCAGGTGAGTGTTCTAAGAACCCATCTGTATCAGTATACAAGCTGGCACTGCTGTGAGAGGTTGCATTCAGCTTCACTGAATTTTTTCTGCAGACTCTCTCAATGAACTTGCCCATTTCATGATGGATGATTTATAAGCACACCCACCCACTCGGCACTGAGTGTTCAGCAGTTTTTGACCACAAATGGCATGACCCCCATGCCCCATCCTCCCTATTCATTCGATCTCTGTGGAGTGACTTATTTTTGCTTCCCTGGATGAAAAAAGTCCTCAAAGAAAAACGTTTTGCCAATGTGGAAAAGGCGAAACAAAAAATGGCAGAAGCACTAAAAGGCATCAAAATCAATTAGCTGGAAAACTGTTTTGAACAGTGGGAAAAATGTCTCAATAGGTGTGTTGCATCAAATGGAGAGTACTTTGAGGATGACTGAAGTTTTAATGTAAGAATAAATGCACAATTTGTATTAATAAGTTATGTTTTTGGGGGGAGATCCTCCCTCATTGACTAAACAGAACCAAGTGCCTCAAAAAGCATGCCATGGCAAAGTCTCCTTGGCATCATAATTCTCTGGTGAGCAAAGTGATTCCCTGCTTCCCCCACAGCAAGCTCCAAAAACCAAAGCTGTGAATACAACCAACAGAAAAAGTAAAGTGACCTTGGCATTAGGGACACGTGTCACAGTAGTTAAATCTCACTCTTCATACGTGGTTCTGCCTAATCAGTGCTCCACTCCCTCCTTCTCCTCCCCCACTATTTCCTTCATTCCAATTTCCTCACCAGCCATTACCGGGCAGTCAAACTCAAAGCTGCCCAGTTTACCCCCCTGCACATCTCCTCCCCTCTCCCTTCTCCTAAGTCTTTTACAGAGCCCACGTTTACTCGTAGGCAAACTCTACTTCATTCTCAATTTTGTGCACTCCTTTAACAGAAACATAACTATCAATACTTGGCAATGAATGACTCTTCACAACTGCCAGTTCCCCAGAGCCACTTCCAGGACACCGATTCATGGGCCCTGCTCCTTTCTATTTATTTGAAGCCCATGCCATTCCCTATACCATCTTGTTCAAATCATCCTCACTGTCATCAACCATTCCCTGCTGCCTGCCCCCCTCCACATGGCAAATCTACCTTAACCTTTCCTGACAATTTGGTTCACATTATTATCTCCACATGTATCCTCTGGCAGGATCCCCAAATTACTTCAACGTATATTCCGACAATGCATGTGAGCCTGCTTGACTCCACTGACCTTCATCTCTAATTCATATCCAGCCACCACACTGCCACATCCTGGGCCTCCCTCCTTCTCCAAACAGCTGTTCAGCAGTCTTCTTTATCAATCTTTCATACTTCCTAATCATTCTCAACCTTCAATCACTCCATTCTTATTTTATTAAGAGCATCTAAGATTATCCCAGTCTATACTAGACAAAATGGTTAAGCAATTCATTGCTGCTATCACTAATACCCCAGGAATTTTCACCTGCCTAACCTTCTACTACTCTGTTCACCAAGACAATCTCCAAACCTGAATATCACAATTGTTTAACTCTTCCATTTCTTCTCCAAGTCAGAGAACATCTCAGAAGAAAGTGGTAAAATTATACAAATCTGGCTCACTAGTAGTTCATACAAACTTCAATTAGGTGCTCTCTTCTTCTGCCCAGGTAATTCCCTTCTTTCTGATTCCCCAGGAAAAGCTACACAGGTATCATTCTACATAGTGGCAAGGATCTCTCTACTTCCAGGTGACCTGCACATCTACTTACTTGTCTGAGTTTATAGCCATTCAATGGTCTCACCTTCATATCCTTCTCTTCAGCCTTGAATCCTTTCCTGCTTTTCAAGAAACAATTCTCTCTTCCTACTATAGACGACAGAACTTGGGAATCAGAATAGAACTTAGAAGTTATACAGTCTAATTCCCCGCTGAAACATGAATCCCTTCAACAATAAAGAACCATATATTCAGGGTTAAACAGTCTGTCCAAACTTTGCATAGATCTATAGTTGTACTGATGCTTAAAGCTTAAGACAATAGAGGAGGATCCAAACTGGATGTGGAGTAGGTGGAAGCTACACTCACCTCCTCCAGGTGCCAAACCAGATTTACAACTAAATTATAGATCAGTCAACCGAATAACTGAAATAGTGAAGGCTAGCTAAACAGAAGTATTATAACCAAGGACCTACAAAAGAAGCCACATTGAGACTGAATAATGTTGAATGTAAGCTGTAATTGAAAAATAAAAGTAACAAGGTAACAGAAAAGTCACTATATCATAAAGGAATACATATTAATTTAATAGTTCCATAGTATCATAAGCTGCTTCTTTATAAATCCTACCCATTGGTTCTAACTTGAAACTGTTAGAATTTTTTTTTAAGTGTAATCTATCTTTCACTTCATAAGAGTCCTGCAACTATTTGAAACCAGGATTATTTATTAGATTTAATAACTGTCATTCCAACATATTTCAATCACTTGATCTTTTTAGATGCTGATTCAGTTATCCAAGATCATCTTCATCCTTTCCAAGCCTGTATCATCCACAGACTGAATCAGAATCAGCTTGCAACTATAGTCCTATCTAAATTACTGACACACTACTCATACTATTTATTTTATCCTCGTGGTATGCTACTTTCTTCTTCTCCACCTTTCCAAATGCTATTTATTCTTTAAAATCCAACTCAGTAATTCATTCATTTATTCTTTGAATAAATCTTTGTTAAGAACCTAGGCTGCTTGGAGCATACCGTGTTACACAAAGTCACAGTCCCTACCTTTGAAACAGATGACAGGCTAACAGAGGACAGAAATAACTTCAATACAATTTGATAAGTGCTATAACAGAATAAGCACAGAGTGCTCAAGAACATAACAGCCTGCCTGGGAAGTGGAGGGATGCATGGGAGGTTAGTGAGAGTTTTCAGATGAGTGACTCAAACTAAACCTTAAAGGATGAGAAGTTAGCCAGAAAGAGGAGAGAAAGGACAAAGCTATTACATGAAGTTTCACCTAATGCAAATTGTTCAAAGAACAACATAGTATTATGGATGATTGAAAGATAGGATGTGTATTACGTAGTGGTGAGACTTAAAACTAGAAACGATGCCATGGACTAAATTATGCCTTATCATGACAAGCCAAGGAGTCTAAACTTTATCTCCAAGAAACTGGTAAGGGGAAGGTAAGGGACACGTTGAAAGATTTTAAATATGAGAATGACATGATCAGATTTGTGTTTGAGAAAAATTACTCTGGCAACCTTTCCTGACAACTCCAGTTCTCAAAAGCCTCTTTGTTCTCCAAATTTTTATGGTGCTTATTATGCTAATCACTCCATCAGCACTTATATAATTATATAGAGCTCTGAACTTTTAATATGTTTATTCTTACATCACCAATAAGATCATAAACTCCTTAAGGAAAGAGAATATACTTTACTCTTTTTGTATTTCCCATAGCTTCTAACAGTTAAAGCTCTACCTAAAAAGACCTACGACAAAAACAAATAATTTTTTCATCAGCCAGTATATTAGAAGACTGGCTAAAGAAACACATAATGAAATCAGAAACAAGTTATATATAAGACTCCTGTCCAATATGTAAAAACCCCAACAGCCTCAGAAATATCACCTGTGTGCTGGGACATGCAGACATGATGGGAAAACAAAATTAAAGCTAAAAATTCTGCCCACTACATTTTCACCAATACCAGATCCATTCTGCTTCACTATATTTATTGCCTTCATAACCAAGAATAATAGTTTTACAAAATTCTCATTTTGAAGTCACAAGTTTTCTTTCTTTTCTTTTTAGAATTTCTTTTATTATAAAAGTTATATATGCTTGCTGTAACAGGTTAAACAATGTATAGATAGGGAAAACCATTAACAGATTTGCTTTTAAACTAATCAATATTTTAAAGAAGAGATGAAATCCATGTGATTTCTTTTTTGTCCACTACCTTATTTCTTTTAGACCTGAAGATGTGTCTAACATGATCGAGTCTTTATAACTTTACTATGCATAGTTATTCTGTTCACATACCAAGCCCTCCCATGGGGAAAATGGACTAAGGAAACCTGATGGTCTCATGTGAGTCATGCTTCCAATATCTAAAAAACTGACTTTCAGTTCAAGGGGAAGAGGTCCAAGTACTTATTCTGAATATAATTACTAAGGGTAACATGATTATAAGCCCTTCCCAAGACCAGTTAACCTGCTTAGAGCTGAGCCATAAGTTCCTCAGAAAAGGTTTTATAGAACAACTTTGCCCCAAAAAGCTCAAGGATCTTTTTTTTAGGATCCTCTTTTTTAGGATCCTATGTTGCAGATCCATCAATTACATGTAAGTTCTTCCCTGATTTAACCATCATGACAAGAGGATATTACAGTGCCTGAAATTTAAGACCTTAATATTTTAGCAAGGAAATTCATTAGAGAAGTCAAAGAGCAACTTTATCACACCTTCAAAATGCTCCAAACAACTCAGTTTCAAAGCTTCTAATGATGTTAAGCTTTGACATCCTATCTAAATCCCTCATTCTATTTTAGGCCAAGCAAAGATCTTTCTACCTAACACTGGAGGTAGAATTTGCAGAAGGTACCTTTATATGAGAGGAAAACAGTCAATCATAAAAAAGGCAACATTCTTGTAGGTGTTTCTTGTAAACTCAGGCCCACCAAAGGCTATAAAACTGACAAAGGAGAGCCCAACTGCCCACTAGGAAATTTTTAAGATTGAGCATACTGAG